CTTTATAATTTTTTTGACAAAAAAAAGATACTGTTCATTTTAACAGGCCACAGTAATATTAATTCATGGGTTGGAACTGAAAAATCTGCTAGAGATAGTACAATGTACATTATTGGGAAAATTACAGTTTTGTGTTGTAAAAACATTTATTTTTTTAACAATTTACCTACATTAATCAAAAAATTACAGCATATTTAATAATTTTACAAATTCTTCATAAAAAATATATCTCTGTACAAAAAGGTCTTTTGCACCTAACTCATGTCAGCAGCATGTGGTGAGATGTCGGACGGGCGGTGACACGGGCCTGCTCCGAAAGCCAGCCTCCTCCTTCCCCTTCGTTATCATTGCTGTGTCGTCGTTGCTTACAAAATATTTTACAGGAGAAAAAGATTATTGCAGCTAGCTTGAAGGAAGGCAAGATGTGTGGGCCAAGCAGCAGCTTTAAAGAGCTTTAAGCACATAACCTGTGGTAGCGTGGGCGCCCCGCGCCAGGTCCCCGCAGGCCGGGACAGCCTTCTAGCAAGTTCCGAGGAGAGACTAGCTCAGGGAGTGACTGTGTCTATGGAGCAGGCTCTAGACCAGGGGTGGGCAAACTTTTTGACTCGAGGGCCACAATGGGTTCTTAAACTGGACCGGAGGGCCGGAACAAAAGCATGGATGGAGTGTTTGTGTGAACTAATATAAATTCAAAGTAAACATCATTACATAAAAGGGTACGGTCTTTTTTTTTTTTTAGTTTTATTCATTTCAAACGGGCCGGATCCGGCCCGCGGGCCGTAGTTTGCCCACGGCTGCTCTAGACCCACCTCCCAGGGCAGTTCTGTGCGCCTGGGGGTGACACCTCACCTGACGTGGGGGTCTTGGGCCTGTGTCCTGTGGGCAGGGACATGGGGACGGAGACGCGCGCTCAGGCTCTGAGGTGGGGCACCTGCACCTGCTCGAATGACTCACTCGGATATGTACACAGTGTGTGTGCGTGTGATATGTACACCTAAGCTGTGGAGTGACCCTGTGCCCGCACACCCTGCGTGCTGGGGCCTGGCCTGGCTGACCTCTGGGTCTGAGGAGGGGAAGGGGTGTGAGCTCCGGGATGCGGGGCAGAGCTCTGGCCTGCTGTCAGGTGGGAAGGGGTGTGAGCTCCGGGATGCGGGGCAGAGCTCTGTCCTGCGGTCGGGTAGCAGAGAAACGCGGAGAAGTCAGCACAACAGCTGGAGCTGCTGGGGCCATGGAGCCCGCGGGCCGGCGCCGCCCGCCCGCTGCAGGGCCCGCACCCAGCAGGACAGATGGGCAGGTGCTTGGCTGGGGAGGCGCGGCTTGGAAACGGTGAGTGTCATCCTGTGACCCCGACAGGGATTTGTGTTAGTTTTCATGTTTCACGAAGCCCTGCATTTCAACATGCAGTGGACAAGCCAATGGGTCAGATTGAAGGAGGTGCGAGCGCCGCCACCCGAACCTGGGTCGCCGTGCCCACACTCCTGCCGGCGCCGATGCGATGGTGAGAAAGGGAAACTGGCTACCCGTGGAACGGGCCGTCAAAGCAAAATGATGAAAGAAGAATCGCGGTTTCAGAACACGTTTCCCATGGCGCTACGCGGAGATGAACATGGCTTTCGCTCGGAGTTGGTGGCGTCCACGCGCATGGCCGCACCTACCAGGCCCTAGTTCTGGTTGTTCCCGCCCTTGGGGTCACACCTCCTTCATTTGTGCCTTCGCTTGTCAGTTACCAAGAATGAGCTTAAACCTGGCCAGCCCTGACCTCCCTCCCGCCTGGGGAAGCGCGAAGCGGCAGACAAGCTAATGCAGGGGATGGGGCGCCGTGGGGGCGGGTGTGGGCG